CCCTGGCGCCTCGGCGCTGCACTGCCAGCGCGGCCGCGGCCCGGGGCAGCTCCGCTGTCCCGCCGGCGGGCGGGGCGGCTTTAGGGCGGGGCGGCGGGACCGGGGCTCATCGCTCCGGGCGGCCCGGGCCGCGGTGACAGCGCGGCGGGAGCGGCACCGGCACCATCCCCGCACTGCGCCCCTCCAGCCGCGCGGGGGCGCTGCTGCCGCCCCGGCCCCGCCCCGGCCCCGCCCGTCCCGCGTGTTCCGGAAGGGCCCCGGGCCGTGACCGCCGGGGCATGGCGGGGCTGTCCCGCACCCTCGGCATCTTCGGCGCCTTCGCCGCCGTGGTGGGAGCCGCCTTCTACCCCATTTACTTTCGGCCTCTGCTGCTGCCGGAGGAGTACAGTGAGTCCTGCGCTGGGGGAGCGGGCCAGGCCCGGCCCAGCCGCGGCTGGGGTGTGCTGGGGCTGCCGCTCGGGGAGTGACTCCCGAGGGCTTTCTGCTCGCCTAGGATGTACCTAAAAACGAAATAATAACCCTCGAGTTATTGGGCAGCGCGTGATTAAGAACGCCTTTCAGCTTTTCTGTAGAGGGTTGAGGTGCAGCTAAAGAAGCTGAGGGGCTGGAGCTCTTCTCCTACGAGGAAAGGCTAAGAGAGCTGGGGTTGTTGGAGAAAAGAAGGCTCCGGGGAGACCTTATAGCAGCATTTCAACACTTGCTTATAAGAAAGGTGGGGGCAGAGTTTTGAGTAGGGCCTGTTGCAGTAGGACAAGGGGTGATGGTTTTAAACTAAAAGAGAATAAATTGAGAGCAGATAAACGGAAAATGTTTTTTATTGTGAGGGTGGTGAAACACTGGAATAGGTTGCCAAAAGAGGTGGTAATAAATGCCCCATCCCTGGAGACATTCAGCGTCAGGTTGGACAGGGCTCTGAGCAACCTGATCTCGTTGAAGGTGCCTCTGATCATTGCAGGGAGGTTAAACCAGGTGATCTTTACAGGTCCCTTCCAATTCAAACTATACAATGATTCTATAAGCTGTTCGAGTTTTGTTCTCCAGCTGCAATTGAAAATTGGTAACAGGTTTTTTACTGGTTGTGATGATTCGCTAAAGCTGATCTCGGTCTATAAAACAGACTCCAGAGGAAAACCCCCCTCTCCTACCAGAAACACGGAAAACCTGCCAAAGCCCACAGCCGGCTCTATCCAGGGAGCTCTCAAAGGCACCTGCAGGTCCAGCTGCAAAGCCTCAGCAGCTCCAGGCAGGCACTCCATCCTGTGGGAGTGATAGGGGTAGCACCTGTTACTCCTCAACTCATGTGAAATACTGCCCAAGGAAACGTGAAAGTTCTGGTGGAACCAGCCTTGTCTCCTTGCTTTAACTTTTATAAAACTAAGCAAGATGTTGGTGATAACTTGAAGATGTACATGGTTAATCTGCCGAGACAACAGAAGATTCCTAGGAAGAAAAAAAAAAAGGAAAAGGATAACAAACTTATTGATCTTATTGGAGGGGCTTTGGCCTTGCATCAAAGCTGAAATAAAATTTAACTTGCAAACAAGTTTTTATTTAGGGAAGCTATGTCCTTAAAAAACCTTATTAATTCATTTTTGCTTATGCTATACTTTCCAAAAATATTATATTAGAAGTGTGTCTTGGCATTAAGGAAAGGACAGAATTAATGGACCGCTTTCTCCTTTGCATTTGTGAATTACGTAAGCAGATGTTCCCTATTAGGTTAGGGATTTTTAAATCTCTATTTAGGAAATAAAATGAGTGATGCACAGTTAGCAAGTGTGTAAACTTGCAATTTGATACCTGATGCTGAACTTCATTTATTGCATGCTGCTCAAACTCTCCTCTGATCTCACCTTTATTCATTTGCTGTGTTCTCTTGATGGTCATTGCTGCAATGTGAGAGAGGCACACACATTCATTATCATAATGCTTTAGGCAGGAACGTGGAATTTTGCACTTGAGTGGAAGTATTTAATCTTTGGGGTACAAAGGATTTTCAGAGTACAGTCTGGTAAGCTGTATGGTGGCTTCTGTAGAAGCTCCCACCCTCTATTGGCTTGATCTGTGGGTGAATACTCAATATTTCTGTGTTTTGGCATGCTGGGTCCCAAAAGTTGGACATTTTCCTTAGCATCACATGGTAATCCTGCAAAAGGCAAGAATGGATTTTAGTTATCTGGAGTGACATTCAACTGTGTAAACATGAAATGCTATCTTTTCTTTCTTCAATCTTGTTTTTCTTGTGTATCCTCCAAATTCTATACAAAGGAGGTACATTAATGTTCAGGAAGAAGACTTTTCTGCACAGCTCTCACGCATCTTTGGAGTTGTTCCTAGCCATTTAACAAATGAAATGGAAAGTATTTGGAAAAACTGTGTGTAATCAAATTGTTAATATGAACCTTAAATTGTGCACAAAGGAGTTTGACCTAATTTCATACAGAAATGTTATGATTTTGTAGGGTTTTAGCACCTCATTTTGTGGCCTTGATGTTTCTAATATTTTCCTGTCTGTATCTAGCTTTAAGAAAGACTTTTCTCATATGGAACATGTAGTTTAGTGGCAATGATGAAACTTTGAGGCCTTGAGCACAGACCTTTTCCTTGTGAATTCATTAAAATAGTGGTTTGACAGCTGCTGCTTGGGGCATTTTCACAGGTTCTGTGATTATCTGAATTGTGAGACTTGGCTCCTTCTCCACCCTGTGGGGAAGACCCCTCTCCTCAAGACTGGGTCTTCCTAGTTATCCTTTTTGTGGCTTACCTGTTTTCCAAGTTGTTTACAGGCCCCACACCAGTCTCCCTATTGAGGGTTTCATGTCTTGTGTGTGTATTTCTCATCTATTACTTCTTTGCACTGGTTTTCTTGCCTGACCAATTGACAGCTCTTTCTGTTCACCCCAAGTGTGTTCCTGGACCTCTCAGATTGATTCCTGTTTTGGTCCCTGCCTCTCTTCTGATCTTAGCTTCCACTTAAATATCTTTCTCCTCTGTGTCCTACAGTAAGTCTCATTCCTTGCCCATATCTGTTCTGTTCTTCCTGTTTGGGTTTTGTACCCTTTCCTTTGAAATTAGGCAGTTCCTTTGTCTGCTAAAAATGATGGAATGGAATTACTATCTCAGTGAACAGAGTTGGAGAAGCTGGATCTGCTTCTAGTGCCTGGCCCCTTGCAAAGAGAATCAATTACTGTGATATTCCTGCTAGTCTCTAGTAGCATTAGGCTTGTACCTAGACAGCCTGATAATACGTAGTGCCAGTGCATTCCCAGTGGGATAGGATGAAAAATTTCAGTTGTAAAGTGAGCTTAGTTCTGAGCTTCCTCTGAGAATGTGCACCCTACAATTTTTTAAAGGCTTCAGAAGTTCAGTGGTGTGGGCAAAAGGCTAATCCAGTTGAGCTTTGATTTACTGCTTCAGATTACCACAGTAGTGAAGAGCTTAACTGGAAGTGAAAGAAAAGGAGGGACATTTAATAAGGGAAATAGTATAGTTTTCTCCATTTCTCTTCTTGGAAATGGTTTAATCTTTCAAAGAAAAAAGAAAAGCCTGAGACAGGCCCCATATATGGAAAAAGTATCCCTCTGATACTGAAATTCACAAAGTTTACAAGCAGTAATTTCATAGGTGCTGTCATGAAATCTACTTGAAAGATCTTTCAGGACCTGAAAAAGGTCATTCTGGAAAGAAAATAATATTTTGAATAGTTTCATGTTGAGCATATGAATAGCTCTAATAGCTCTATGATAGATTCTAAAATTACTGGTCATTCCTGAAGTGTTTGGATCGTGGCAGGTATTTTGGCATTTTTTATTTAACAGTAGTCGTTTTAAGATGATTATCTATTGTTTGTAGTCTTTCAAAACAGACTAGCTGTTAGTTTCTCAGTGAAGTGGGAATACTACATTTGCATTGTGTAGGTGGTTACTCAGCAGAATTTTACTGTGTAGCATCTAGAATTAAGAAAATTTTCAAGATTCTTTTATTGGGCGCAATCAAGATATCTGGTATTTTGTTTTTTTTAGTAGTGTCCTTTCTGTTTTGTTTTCCAGAGAAAGAACAATCAATAAACCGAGCTGGTATTGTTCAAGAGGATATTCAGCCTGCAGGTATACTTGATTCATGTGTTTACATTTATTGTTTTAAAGACCCTCGTGAAGTGAGTCCTGAATATTTATATGGATTTAAGTAATACAGTGAAGAACACCTTCAGAGAAAACCTAAATAATAAACTTGTCATGAAGTTATTTTTTCAGGCTAATTCTTCACTGGAAAATTATGGTTTTAATGAAACTTGTTTTAAATTGACGTAACTGGCCAAATAAGTTGCAGAATTTCTGTTATCTTCACACTTTCTTAAATAGATGCCAGTTTCCACTTCTGAACCTGCTCAGAGCAAATCAGAACCATGGGTGGCCTGAACTGCAACTGTAAAGAACAGTATTGCACCCTAGTTTTGTGGAATGCTGCTTTACAACTCAGCTGAAACACAGTTTATGAGCACTTTAGCAGTGCCTTCCAGCCTCATGGGTAGACAGGCCATGCAGAAATCCACTACATGTAGTGGAAAATTTGGAATGCCATGCTAATAGCTTTTTGATCTCTGCTGTTGCCAGTGGAAGGCATAGAAAAGCATATGAGGGAGATAAAATTCAAGTAGGCAGACTATCCTTGATAGTTCATTGCTTCATAATGGTAAATGGAAGGGCTGTTCATTATGCAAGGTTGGCACTTCTCAATTAAAGACATGAGAGAGCTTGTCTTGATGAAACAGAGTATGTTAAAGGATGATTTATTCCTATTTTTAAAAAAACCTAACACCAGCAGCAGGGGAAAATCAAATAGGATTAAAGCCATGTCCTTATTACACATATCAGTTAAATCATTAGTGCAGGACTTACTTTCCAGGGAAGTGGTGAAATGCTGAAGAGTAGTAGGAAGGGTGTTGTGAAATAGAAGTCTGGTAAACCTGTCTATTTTACTGAGCATTCAAGTGCACTGGACTGGCTCATTTATCCAAGATGCAAGTACTTGATGAGGAGTTCTCCTCAGTATAACTGTTTCGTCTAGATTTAACTGCTGATGAGAAGTTACAAGATCCATTAGTGGAAAATTAAATCTAGAAAAATTTAAGTGCAAGGTGCAATTCTAGATGATTGATCCAACAGTATTAGAATACCTTACCTATGAGTGTGATAGATTTTTCCATTATCTGAAGCTTAAGATCAAGATGAGGTTGTCTTTTACGTATTTTTGCAAGCTTAAGCAGAGTTGCGAGTTAAGTGCAGAAATTGTTGGATTCTTTTATTGTTTAATACACAAGGGTGGAGTATTTTTTTTCTCTCCAACAGTCTAATTATGAACTCCTGATTGATTTGTAGGGTTAAAAGTGTGGTCTGATCCATTTGGAAGAAAGTAATGTTGGCGGCTGTGCATATTACAGAACTGAAGATGGACATCTTCAGCTGTTTCTTCTTTCACTGAAGTGTGCCTTTGGGTGTTGCTGGAGAAGAATTCTGAATATGCTGTATGGGCACGTGAGGAGCAACAAAGGCTGCTGGTTGGAATCCCAAGAGATAAAAACATGCTAGTTTTGACAGAGGATGCTGGTGCATAACTCACAGACTCTTAGAGAGCTGAATGATTATTGAGTATAGAAGTGAAATATTTATTTCCTTGAGAAAAGGATTTTTTTTGAATCTGTAGACACTTGTAGAAGAAATTATGAATAGAGTAAATCATGCTGCAGTTTCCTCCCTAGTTTGAGATTTGCTTTCTGTGGTTTTACTTTGAAAGCACGGTAGAAGTATGTAATGGGAGGGATCAGTGCAGAAAATGCAACATGGTTAGTGTAAATTTGTACATTAAAATTTTTAAACCAATGAGTACTTTTTTTATTTGTTTTGCAAGTGGGTGTGGGAGGTACCTTGGCCACCTGGCAGGTGTCCCTCTGGACATTCTTCTTGCCCCTGCTCCTCAAAAGGACAGGAGGAGTAAACAGGATGACAAAAGTCGTGAGACCGGATAAACACAAGGACATTGCTTACCAGTTACTTTTGCAGGCAAAACAGACTCAACATGGAGAAAATTAATGTAGTTTATTGCCAATTGAAATATATTTGGATAGTGAGAAACAAAAATTAAACCAACATCTTCCTACTGCCTCCCTTTTTCCAGGGTCAACTTCATTTCTGATTCCTGTTTCCTCTTCTGAGCCTCCTGAGTGGTGGATGGGGGCGTTACAGTCAGTTCTTAACAATTCTGCTCCTTACTCCTCCTCTTTCTCTCCAGCTCCTGTGTGGACTTTTTGTGAGCTGAAATTCCTCCAGGAAATACCCAGCTGCTGTGGTGTGGATATCTCCTCCAACGTGGTCTTCCCCATGGGCTGCAAGAGTCTAATTTCTCCAGTGCCTAGAGCACCTCCTCCCCTGCACTCTTTTCTGATTCTGGTGTTCACCTGCTGTTCCTCACTTATTTCCCCTCATTCCTCTGCTTGTCAGATATTTTCAAAAAGGGGCCGCTCACTTGGCTGCTGGGCTCAGCCCATGTCTTACAGTGTGGGACCCCTGGCAGATCCAGCTGGAACTGGCTGTGGCCAGCAGGGGGAAATTCCTGTAGCCCACCTTCCGTGCCGCTGAAATCTGGTCCGGTACACGTGATACAGGAGATTAACACTAAATGTTGGGGTTGAAAAGCAGATTCTTTAAAGAATCTTTTTTTAAAAAGGGCTTTTTCATGGTGAGTATAATGTTCATTAGAAGAAAAGAGTAAAGGATTGCCTTTTTTGAAAATCTTCACCCAACTTGGATGTCTGTCTAATAATAGGTTCTGAATAAACTGTGTGTTTTCAGATTTCAGAAAGAAATAGTCTATAACCTATATAACCTATATATGGGCACTGGAACAGGCTCCTCAGGGAAGTGGTCACAACACCAAACCTGACAGAGTTCAGGAAGCATTTGCTTCTCAGGCACATGGTGTGACTCTTTGGGTGTCCTGTGCTGGAGCAGGAGTTGGACTCAGTGATCCTTGTGGGTCCCTCCCAGCTCAGGATATGCTATGGTTCTGTGGTTACAGAATAACGGAACAAATATTGTTCTTGAGTACAGGTCAGGTAGCATGTACGTTTAGCTTGAATATGCCATTTTTTTTCTGAATTAATTTTAGCACTTCATTATGATACACAACATTTTAAAGACCATTGCAGGATCCCATATGTTTTGAAGAATGTATGCACAGTGAGTGTTATTTCTAAAGTTAGCAGATGTTAGTTTGTAATTTTTTTTTTGGACACCACAGTTTTATTGGGACAATAGATGAGCAACTCAATGTTTACAGCATTCATTCCCAAACTGGCATTCTGTTACTTGCTATTCCATTTCTACATGTCCTTGTCATTACCCTCCCACTCAGACAAACCTTTCTTGCTCTGAGTTTATGTTTTTATTTAGTCTTCTATTATCGCTAAGCATTAGGATATTTTGAGTTTGCTTGCTGGGAGAATGTGGTTTTATTTGGTTCCTTTGAGTTCCTAGGTGATTTTGCATGATGGTTGGAGCCAGAGTGAGTGCACACATTCACTGAAGGGATCATAGATTGGTTTGGGTTGGAAGGCACCTTAAAGATCATCTAATTCCAACCCCCCTGCTATTAGCTGGGACAACTTCTACTAGACCAGGTTGCTTGAAGCCCCACCCAACTTGGCATTAACAGTCAGTTGCAGCAAAGTTGTTTAACCCAAAATATATCCTAATGAAAATAAAGCATTGCTTAAATGCACATACTCCATCTGTAACCAATGAGCTGCAAAACGAAGAGTTTTAGGAGACTGTGGGAATTGTTCAATAATGCTGCATCTGTCACTTGGTGACATAAATGCTTAAAAAACATACATCATGCTAGTGTGGAACAGTTACTAAATCACTCAGGATAAAAGATGTGACAGAGGATCTGAAATTACTTATTTTGGAGTTACGAGATAAGACAGTCTCTGCTACTCGTTTACTTTGTGAGTCTGGATCTTGCCTAGAAAAATGTTAGATGGTTTCAGAACAATGGCTGTTGGTGACAGGTGCTGAGCCTTTTGTCTTCAAGTTACTTAAATGTTGCAAAACATTTGAGTACCTGAACTTTTATTTAGCATTTATAGAACTGTACATGTCTGTTGGTCGTGATCTCTAGTTCATTCTGGTCCAGAAAAGCTTGGTAAGTTTTGTAGTTGCCTGTACAGAATTTACAGCAGTTCGTATCTGTTGAGTACTACTGAAGTGAATCTAAACTCTGAAAATGGTGCATGTTGGTTTTGATGATCATCACTTCCCACTCGCTGTGTTCCACCTAATAAAGTGGGCTGATTGGCCATGGCTTTAAAGTGTTAGGATAGTGAATATCCTTTTCAAAGCTTTGATACTCTGTCTGGATAAAGCTGTTAAGTCAACAAGGAAGGTACTGCAATAATTTTCCAGAATTTACACTGAAATTTTCTGATTGCTCTGGCATTTGCCAGATTTTAGACCCAATTCTCGTGTGGTAAGTCCTAGTCCTGCAGCTGGCTTTGAGACAAGGCTTTGTTCTGCTCATGGATGCTGGACATAAGGCTCTCCTTCCAGCTACCCAGTGCCAGGGGAAGTTCAGTACAGTGAATTGTGCTCTCTTGCTCTGGAAGAAAGAATTTTTTACTACTTTTGTAAACTTCAACAATTATTATTTTTCAACACAATCACACAATGATGTTAGATGTATTTATAATTATATGTAATTTTATGTAATTATTAGTAAGTGGGAGGGCCTAGGCCTGACTTTTGCAGAGGAACTAGGTTTGCTAATTTTGATCAACCTGTTCTGATTTTTCTGATAGAAAGTTTGGGACAAAACATTTGATAAAAATGCCTTCTTAGAATATTTTTAAAGCAGTTATATCTATTCTGTAATGAATGCATTTTGCTTACTTATTCTAGCTGGATCATGAACAACAAATATAAGTTCACCCTTTGAAGGACTGAAGAAAAGTTTTAAACTGTGCTTTGACATCTGAATAGAAACTGGTTTTACTAAATTTAGGCCTGCTCTTGTATGCTGATGTTTTGAAATTATTAAAACTTGTTCCATAAAGAGAAAATCTGGCATTTTGGTCTCAACACACCTTAGTTGTGAAACCTTACAGACTGTTAATGATGTAATGAAACCCTCAAGTACAAACACTTCAGAAGGAGTAAATACAGCAAAAGATACTGACAAATTGCCAGATTATACACGAGCACGAAGGAATAATCTCAATAAATAAGTATAATATTTGGCAAGAAAAATCTCATGGGATTTTGACAAATCCCATGGGATTGTGAAAAATCAAATGGGGTTTTTCTTGCTGAGTACTGTACTTATTTATTGAGATTATTCCAAATGATGAGAGTGGATTTTTTTATCAGTAATACTCAAAGCACATCAAATAGCCTCCAGTTATCATCATAAATCTTACTCTATGTGTGCCCTTCTATGAAAAATAGTCCAGAAAAAGAAGCGGTTCTTGTGATTTGCTGTTTGCTAAACCAAAATAAAGTATTTTCACTTTTTGCAGTCTAGCAATAATTAACTACTCATTTTCTCAGTACTGTGTACCCTCCTACTGACCTTCATGCTAACATGCAGACACAGCAGTAAATGAAAAGCTGTATTGGCTTTTTCAACATAAAAAGTATGTTTGCTAGTGAAAGGAAATTATTTTCCAGCTTCTGAGAAAGTGCTGCAGAATATACACCGTTTCTATGTGCACAATATATTAACAGGAGAGAGCAAAAAACAAAGTTCAGGTCAAAGCATAGTACCCAAGATCCGATGTCTATTTGTGCGTAGTGCAGACTGTGTGGGCCTTGCAAGAAAAATGATGCAGTGTTTAAGACACTGTCTTGAAAATTAGGACTGTTGTAGTCAGTTCCATATTCCACCACGCTTTTGTCTGGCAGCAGGTAAGTAATTTAGCCTTTGAGCTTCAGTTCCATCTGTAAAATAGCCACGATAGTACTCCCCTTCTTTGCAGTGCATATATTGAAGGTAAATACAGGAGTGTGGGGTTTTTTTGATCCTCTAGAAAACGTTTTTGGTTCTTGTCTGGGAAGTTTTATTCATGGTTAGGAAAAATTGGTCTGGATTTGTGTGGGAATCAGATATTTTGGTTCCAAAACTTAAAATGTTTTGAAGAATCTTTTCCAGAAGAAAACAACTACTGAAATTTCCCAGCAGTTTATACTGCTGAAATATGTTCTGAGTATGGAAATTTTGTATCCTGGAAGTCAAAAAGAAAACTCACCTGCTTTTCACAATACTAATGTTTTTTTAGAAGATCTCCAGATTTGAGTATAAACTTCTACATGTAAGTTGAAATTCAACCCAACATGAATGTTACTATAGCTATACAAAAAAGCAGAAAATTGATCAGCTTTTGTTGCTGGACCAGGTGCCTCAGCAATTTCCATTATTTAGACTTACTATTTCCCTTATCTTCTGTAACAATGGGTCCTCCCTTCTGAGCTTGGCATACCAAAAAAATAACTGAAAGCCTTCTTTGAGAGCTACAGGTACTGAGCAAGAGAGGCGGGGGGGGCAGTTAAAGGAGGTGAGGAAGAACTGGAGATACTGCAGGGAAGAATGTTCTTCCTACGGGAAGTGCTAGAGAAACACTTGGAGGTAGAATGCTGGATATGAAGAGGAGACAGAGCATACTGATCAATTGAATGGGAGCATGAGGGACATAGCACATAATTCCATTGGATTACAGCCTTCATAGGCTCTGCTGCTCGCAGAGCAAATTAGGATACCTCTTTCCCTCTTTTCTGTTTCCTCCCCAGCAAATTGGGGGTTACCCTTTCTAAAGAAAGTTCCTAGGCAA